GAAATGTATCAAAGGCCTGACTGTAAGTCATGAAACCATAAAACTCTTAGAGAAAAACATAGGCAAAAATCTCTTGGACATAAACATGAGCAACTTCTTCATGAAGGTATCTCCCGAGGCAAGGAGGAAGAAACAAAAATGACCAAGTGGGACTTTATCAAGTTGAAAAGCTTCTCTACAGCAAAGAACACCATCAACAGAACAAAAAGGCATCCTAAGGCATCCTACAGTATGGGAGAATATATTCATAAATGACAGATCTGATAAAGTTTTGACATCCAAAATATATAAAGAGCTCAACCCCCTCAATGAACAAAAAGGAAATAATCCAATTAAAAAATGGGCAGAAGAGCTGAAAGACACTTCTCCAAAGAAGAAATTCAGGTGGTCAACAGCACATGAAAAGATGCTCCACATCGCTAATCATCAGAAAAATGCAAATTAAAACCACAATGAGATATCACCTCACACCAGTTAGGATGTCCACCATCCAAAAGACAAACAGCAACAAATTCTGGCGAGGATGTGGAGAAAGAACCCTCCTACATTGCTGTTAGAAATGTAAATGAGTTCACCATTGTGGAAAAAAGTATGGAGGTTCCTCAAAAAACTCAAAATAGAAATACCATTTGATCCAGGAATTCCACTTCTAGGAATTTTCCCTAAGAATGCAGTAGTCCAGTTTTAAAAAGACATGTGCACCCTATGTTTATTGCAGCCATATTTACAATAGCCAAGAAATGGAAGCAACCTACGTGTCCATCAGTAGATGAATGGATAAAGAAGATGTGGTACATACACACAATAGAGTATTATTCAGCCATAAGAAGAAAACAAATTCTACCATTTGCAACAACATGGATAGAGCTAGAGGGTATTATGCTCAGTGAAATAAGCCAGGTGGAGAAAGACAAGTATCAAATGATTTCACTCATCTGTGAAATATAAGGACAAAGTAAAAACTGAAGGAACAAAACAACAGTAGTTAGTCCAAGAATGGACTAACAGTTACCAAAGGAAAGGGACTGGGGAGAATGGTTGGGAAGGGAGGCATAAGGCTCTAAAAGGGGCATTATGATTAGCACAAATAATGTAGCAGGGGACACAGGGAAGGTAGTACAACACAGAGATGACAAGTACTGATTCTATAGCATCTTTCTACACTGGTGGACAGTGACTGTAATGTGGTATGTGGTTGGGACATGATAATAGGAGTCTGGTAACCATAATGTTGCTCATGTAATTGTATATTAATGATACCAAAATAAGAAATAAAAAGAATAAGACTTTACAGAGAACAACACACACAAAATCAGTGCTTGTAAAAACAAAATGTAAGTAAAGTCTGGTGTTTGGTTAATCGTATTATACCAGTGTAAAGTTTCTCATTTTGATAATTGTATGGGTTACATTAAATGTTGTCATTCACTGAAGGTGGGTGAAGGATAACAAAGATCTCTGTGTTATTTTTGCAACTTCTGTTTGAGTCTAAAGTTATTTCAAAGTAGAAAGTTAAAAGGAAAAGAAAGGATGCTGTTAGGAAAATGGAAAGGAAAGCCACAGACTGGGAGAAAATACTTGAAAAACATCTGATAAAGGATGTATATTCAGAATATATAAAAAAGTATTCAGTAGCAAGACAATCACATTTTTTAAATGGGCTAAATATTAATTAACTATTGCACCAAAAAAAAAGATTTATGAATTAGGATATAAGCCCACAAAAAATCCTTAACATCATTATCAGGAGTGCAAATATAGAGCACAATGAAATACCACTGTGCACTCACTAGTATGGGTAAAATTAAATGACAGTCACAAGAATGTAGAATGAGCAGAACTCTTGTTAGTGATAGGAATGAAAAATAGTATGGCCACTTTGGAAATGGTTTCACAGTTTCTTATAAAGTTAAACATAGGACTTAGAAATCCCACTCTTAACTATTTACCCAAGGTGAATGGAAAAATAAATTGTGAATGTTCATACTAGCATTTATAATATCCCCCAAACTGGACATAATCCAAATGGTATGTCCATGTAATGGAATACCATACTGTAATAAAAATGGATGCAGTGTAGATGAATCTTTAAAGCATTAGGGCAATTGAAAGAAGCCAAAAACAAAAGTTACATGCTGGATGATTTCATTTATATGAAGATGTAGAAAAGACACAACTAAGCAATTCATTGGAGGGCAGTTATTGATCATACAAGAGGATATTTTATGGTGATGTAAATCTTCTATAGCATGGTTATTTATGGTGGTGGTTATAGGGTTGTATACATTTATCAGAACTCATTGAATTGTACAGTTAATTTTGCTGTGTCCTGGGGTGCTCTTTCTTCTGCCTAGAAAGTTCCCTTCCCTCCCTGCCTTGGTTAATTCAAATTCAGTGTTCATATCTTACTCAAATACTACATTATCCAGGGAATCCTTTCCTGAGTCCAGACTAGCATAGGCTTGCTTCCATAGTATCCTGCTCTTTTTCTTTATTGGGCTTATCACAGCCACAGTTAGTGAAGTGGGTAGTAAACAACATAAGGTCTCTTTTTCTGTCTTAACTGCCAGTTCTGTGAGGGGCCAGATGCTGATTGTGTTCATAGTATGTAGCATAGAGTTAGATTCAAGTACTCCATTAAATATTGTACAACCAAGCATAAGTGGGTAGAGTTCTGTCAGTTGTTCATGGGAGTGGCAGCTGTGACTTCTCTAGAGAGTACCACTGGTTGGGGCTGTCTACTTAACCTTAGGTCCTCTGTCTCCTGCCCTTGTACTGTTGCTGGGGATTTGGCGGGGCTTTTGTTGCTCAGCTGCTGCCACAAGTTTGTCCAGGCTTCCATGTGGGCACCAGTGATCCCCCACCTGCTGCTGGGCCACTCTGTTCTGAGAATAGAGACAAGCCTCTCTTGCTATTATTACTTTAGCACAAAGGGAAACCAGTCCTGTGTATGTTCCTGAATCTGCTTAGCCTTTTCTTTGATTTGAAGCAAGTTGAGAAACTGAAATACAGCCTTTTTGTCACATGTTTTGTAAGTAAGTAGTAAACTCCTGTGAAGCACCGTAGAGACCCTTTTCTCTTCTCATCTTTCATATTCCTAAGGATAGGAGTACCAGTCCCCCAAGTAAGCCTCAGAAGTCTCATTTGCAAACACAGTTTGACTACTTGGGCTACAAACACCATGGTGCTCTGTGCTTAGCCTCCAAGCATATATACATTTAGATCATTATTACTGTCTCCAACCCCTGGGCAGACCTAGTTTGGGGGATAAATGTGTATTCATTGAAGGGCTTGCCACCCAACACTTCCCTCTCTTACTTTTCCCTCTTCTCTTCCTCCCTATTTCTTTATTCTGGTAGGCAAGAGGGAATTCAAATTAAGGTGTGGGCTTGGTCTGGATGACCGGTACCTATATTTGATCATCCTGTGAGCATAGCTGAACGTTAGAAGTCGTTACTAAACTCTTTAAGCCTGTGATCTGTTCCACTTAGGCAGAATTAATGACACTTGTCTTTTCTGACAGTCCTCTCTGGAGTATTATATGACTAGTTTAGAAAATGTTTCTTTGGGTCTTTAATTTATCCAAATCATTTATCTAGCTCCTTAATTGCGTCCAATTTATTTATCTTTTAAGGCTTTCACTATTTGGACTTTTTTGTTTCATTTTTGTTTAACTCCATCATACCTAAGAATCCTCATTAACTTTAATTTTACCTCCTTCCAGATTATTACAATAGCTCGTTTTCCTCTTGCAACTCTTGGTCCCTCTTCTCTTGCAGTATAATCTCCAAGTAGCAGCCAGAAATCTGGTTGATCCTGCCAGGCACTCTGTTGCTCTCCACTTTCCAGTGGCTTCATCCCACTCTAAGAATTCAGCTATTAGACTCCAGTTCATGAACTTCCACGTGTGCATGCCTGACAAGTAGTAGGCACTTCATATTTGCATTGTTAATTAAATCTTACAAGGATTTCATTTTTGTTTTTGCTAGCATTGTCTTAGAAGCACACACAACACACAAACAGTAATTCTTTAGACCTAACAGGTTTTTTGGGATGTGGGGAATAGGTCATAGCTGTCTTGCATGCATTTTGGAATAGGCTAGTTTCATCTAATATTGATGGAAAATAGATTTATCTATAACCAATACTCAAATGGGTAGTAAAAGACTGCCTTGGTAAAAACCAAAATCAGACATGTGGTAAAGGACTGGTTAGAACTTAAGTTATGCTTTTCATGCCCCAAACAGTTCAGAACAGTATTATTTTTTATATCAGAATGTGTTAAATAATTCTTCTCTTTTTTGTATTTTCTACCCTGCTTTGCGTAATTTCAACCTTACAACTTCACCATATGCATTATACCTGTATGTTGCTGTGGGGGTCATGGCTCTGTTGCAGTGAAAGCACTGTGTAGCTCTGTGTTTGTTATGTAGGCATTATACCTGCTAACCAGTTTGCTAGCCTACTTGTTGTTCCTTTTTATGGCACTAAATGAGACTGTGAATTATTTTTGAATGAAAATTTATGAATTTCTTACAAAAAAGTTTCACTACTCTGTAATAAACACATAAAAAGGACTGGCTCTATATTTTAAACTGTGGAAGTGACCTTAAGAACAAGTTTTGTTATTATTTGCTGCCTTTTTTTTTTAGCAGTCTTCCAGTAGTATGTATGCAAGTTAAGACATGTATACAGATTACATGTATACATGACTTCCAGGTTGGAGAAACTGTTTATCCTAGTAAAAGTTTGTTTTTTTTAACTATGAATCGTTTCCTTAAATATAGCAAATGTTAACCAGAGGCTCTGATATTTTTTTCTTTCTGTGTTTTTTAAAGAACAAACTCTTTTAATATGATCTAGTAATCTATGTTACTGTCTACAACATAACTTTTTATAAATCAGCCCTGCTGTCTTTAAGTATAAAGTGAACAGAGTGAGGACTTGGATTTTAAGATCAAACAAATTTATTTTGATAACATCGCATTTTCATTTTGCAGCTTCTTGGTGAATTTTTGGATGAAGCCATTAAATTAATTGCTTGCCATCATGAGCAGAAGCAAGCGTGACAGCAATTTTTATAGTGTAGAGATTGGAGATTCTACATTCACAGTCCTGAAACGGTATCAGAATTTAAAGCCTATAGGCTCAGGAGCTCAAGGAATAGTATGGTAAGTTTTTATTCTCAAAAATTAGACAAGAAAATCATTAACTGCTGTCTTTTCTCCTCTCATAATATAGATACATTGGTAAATATTTAACTTGCCTCAAAAAATTAAAACTATGAAATTTAAAGCTATAGCAGTAAGTTTCTGTTTTGGGATTAGTGATCTTTATTATTAGAACTACAACCTAACTTTTTATAAATCAGCACTGCTGTCTTTAAGTATAAATCATGATTAAATACTTGGTCATAAGCCATGTAAAGACAAATAAAATACCTATATCAGGAAAGAGTAAGTGGCAAGCTTGTTAATTCCATGTATCATCTGTTCCCATAGCTAATTGTTTAATAAGAAGCTCCACTTAATCATCATTTTCACACTATAATGAAACTTTAGAATTTCAGAAGTCTTATTTTGCACTAGGGAATGAATTCAACTAGTATCATCTCACTTACATGTGTTTCAAAACTCTTATGTGCTTTTAAAATAGATTACAAGCTAATTTCTACAAAAAGCCTAGGCATAGATCAGCATAATTCCTTATAAACTGAAGCACAAAATAGTCTTTGGGACAGTTCTGCTAATGATTTTAGATTACTAAGTTAGCATAATAAGCTAATGTTTGGGGGAATTCTAAGCCTCAGTCAAGCATTATTATATCTTTATTATCTCTTCTTAAACCAGATTTGTTTCGGAATCTATTAAAAAAATCATAAGTGTTTACAACTCTATAGTTTTTCAGGTTCTAGAAAAACTCTTAACACATGTACATAAAAAGACATACATAGGGCTATTTTTTTGAAGCACCATTTATAATAATAAAAGTTAGTAAGCACAAAGCCTATTAATAGGAGAATAAAAAATTGGGGTATAGTCATACAGTGAAATACCATCCAACATTTAAAATGAACTGGAGCTATATGTGTCGACAAGGATAATCTCAGAAATGTAGTGTGGAGTTTAAAAGCCAGATGCAGAATATACATACATTATTGTACTATTTATATTGTTTAAAAGTATGAAAAATATTACCATATATTTATGAACACATACATACATAGAAGAGTATAAAAACATTCATAAACTCAAACCTCAGAATAATGCTTTACCTCTACATTTAGAGAAAAGGAAGGGAACTTCATCTATAATATAGTTTTTAAAATTATGGAGGAATTATGATAAAATATTAGTCTAATAAATTTGTTTAATGGAAACAATAGCATTTATTCTTTTTTCTGTATCCTTGAAGTAATTTGTAATATCAAAAATGTTATAATTTGGGTCATTTTACAGAGCATTATTTGCTGGCTTGTTGTCATTTCAACTAACCATGTTTAATCAGCCACACATTAAATTTAAAGAAAATAATGTGATAATGTCAATATGGGAAGGATTCTGAAAGTCACCTCTTAGTTCAGATTCTAGCTCTGTGACTCATGTCAACTTACGAGTGTGTTTTCTCACCTAATCTACATGGTTGTTGTGAGGAATGTATTTTTAAAATACTTAACAGTGTTTAAAAATATAGTAATGTTTCCATAACTTGGCTTGTCCTCAGACAAATGCATCTTGATATTTGTCTATCAGGATTTTTTAATTGCTTTGGAAGAGACCTTAAGCCATTTTAACTAGCCCCTGTCCTAAGAAATAAGTATCTTAAAATTTTTATTTTTTCATAAAATATTATTATGAAATAAACATGTTTTAAAATTTTTAACTCACTATTGTGTTACTGTCAGAATTAACTGTAAACTGAATTTAAAAAAAATAGTATTATTTTGGGCCCAAACTGTGTAAGATTCACTGGACCTAGATTGGGGACTCTGAATCTCCAGGTGTTTCTAATTTGTACATTTTGAAGAATCAACTATTAGAAATCTAATTTCTTTGGATACAAAATAGTGCAACGTATTCAGTTACTTTTGAACTTTCAGAGTTTGAAATATCACCTTGCTTTAGCAGATAAAAAATTAATAGGAATTAATTTAATGGTTAAAAATAAAACATACTTGGGGAGATTCAAGATGGCGGCGTGAGAGGTGAGATGGAGAACTCCTCTCAAAACCACAAATAGTACAAAAATATAGTTAATTAATACAACTAAGCCTAAAACAGCAACAAGAAAGAAGGCTGAACCAGACTTCATACAAACCTCATGAACAGAGTAGACCCAACGAAACAGGGTAACATATGAAAGCCTTGATCCGGCTGGACCCAAGCCCTTCCCCCACCCCAGTTCACGGGTGGGAGGAAGAGAAACAGAGCCCTGGAGGTCTGCTTTGGGAGAAGACACCTACACTGTGTGGTGCTCTAGACTTTGGGGAGCTCAGACAGGGAGAGTGCTTGAGAGATTGAAATTCTGGCCTTTTGTGGGGGAGGGGATCCACAGCACGCCGCTCTGTATCAGAGGAAAGGCAGGTGGTCTGAGAGGCCTCCTAGCAGCAGAGGGCTGCAGAAGGGGCGGCATTTGCACGGACCTTGCTGCACGGGGGAGGAGAGAGCTGGACAAGGTTGTCTGGGCGTGCTGGGCCCACATGGTTGGGAACTTCGAGGAGCTTCAGGTGCTCCATGCCCCTGGCTGCCTACTCAATTCTGAGGCCCCCCTCTGTGACATGCAGTCTGCTGTGCCTTCCTCCTAGCCTGCTGGCACTGGTTCCCAAACCAGCAGTCACTGTGCTGGCGTCAGGCCAGCCAGAGGGAGGCTCTGCCTACAACAGCTATAGACAGCTTAGACCTGTGTGCTTGGCCCACTGGCTCTGACACTGCAGACAGACACTGCAGATGGGAATTAGGGAACAGATCTTTCCTCCCCTCAGGGTACCAGATTAGCTCCCTACAACCCCCAACCTCACTCTAGGGGTTAAGCAGCTCCAGAGACTGGAGCTTCTGGGCACTAGTGAGCAACACACTGAAATATGAAACATCAAAAGAACATTGTTCAGACCAAAATCTCACAAGCCCCAGAAAAAGGGCCAAATGAAACTGAACTCATGAATCTTCCTGAAAAAGAATTTAAAATAAAAATTTTAAATATGCTTATGGAGGTACAGAAAAATAATCAAGAACTCAGGAATGAATTTAAGTTGGAGATTCAATCATTAAGAAGTTCCATATCTGAAAAGAAACATACAATAGAGGGATTTAAAAGCAGATTAGATGTAGTAGAAGAGACAGTGAATGGAATAGAAATTAGAGAAGAGGAATACAAAGAAGCTAAGGCACAGAGCGAAAAGAGAATTTCTAAGAATGAAAGAATATTGAGAGAACTCTGTGACCAATGCAAGTGAAACAATATTCGCATTACAGGGGTATCAGAAGAAGACGAGAGAGAAAACGGGGTAGAAAGTGTCTTTGAAGAGGTAATTGCTGAAAACTTCCCCAATCTGGGGAAGGAAATAGTCTCTCAGGCCATGGAGATCCACAGATCTCCCAACACAAGGGATCCAAGGAAGACAACACCAAGACATATAGTAATTAAAATTGCAAAGATCAAGAATAAGGACAGACTATTAAAAGCAACCAGACAAAGAAATAAGATCACATACAAAGGAAAGCCCATCAGGCTATCAACAGACTTCTCAACATAATCCTTGCGAGCCAAAAGAGAGTCACATGATATATTTAATGCAATGAAGCAGAAGGGCCTCAAACCAAGAATACTCTACCCAGCAAGATTATCATTTAAATTTGAAGGAGGGATTAAACAATTTTCAGATAAGCAAAAGCTGAGAGAATTTACCTCCCACAAGCAACCTCTACAGTGCATTTTGGAGGGACTCCTATAGATGGAAGTATTCCTAAGGCTAAATAGATGGCACTCAAGGGATAGACAAAGAGTACAGAATATAATTCATAATATACAAAGAATGGAGGAGGAAGAAAAAGGAGGAAAAAAAAAGAACTTTTAGGTTGTGTTTGTAATAGCATATGAAGTGAGTTAAACTAGATTGTTAGATAGTAAGGGAATTAACCTTGAACCTTTGATAACCACGAATCTAAAGCCTGCAATGGCAATAAGTACATACCTATCAATAATCACCCTAAATGTAAATGGTCTGAATGTACCAATAAAAAGACATAGAGTTACTGAATCGATAAAAAAACAAGACCCATTTATATGCTGCCCACAAGAGGCTCACTTCAAACCCAAAGACATACACAGACTGAAAGCAAGAGGATGGAAAAAGATATTTCATACAACTAATAGGGAGAAAAAAGCAGGAGTTGCAGTACTTATATCAAACAAAATAGACTTCAAAACAAAGAAAGTAAGAAGAGAAAAAGTAGGACATTACATAATGATAAAAGGGTCAGTCCTACAAGAGGGTATAACTATTATAAATATGTATACACCCAACACAGGATCACCTACACATGTGAAACAAATACAGAATTAAAGGGGTAAATAAAATGCAATGCATTCATATTAGGAGACTTTAACAAACCACGCACTCCAAAGGACAGATCCACCAGACAGAAAATAAGTAAAGAGACAGAAGCACTGAACAACATATTAGAACAGATGGACCTAACGGACATCTACAGAACACTCCATCCAAAAGCAACAGGATACACATTCTTCTCAAGCACACATGGAACATTTTCAAGAATAGATCATACACTAGGCTACAAAATGAACCTCAGTAAATTCAGAAAGATTGAAATTGTACCAACCAGCTTCTCAGATCACAAAGCTATGAAACTAGAAATAAATTGCACACCAAAAATGAAAAAGCCCACAAATACATGGAGTATTAATAACATGCTCCTAAATAATCAATGTATCAATGACCAAATAAAAACAGAGCTCAAGCAATATATGGAGACAAATGACAACAATAATTCAACACCACAAAAATCTGTGGGATGCAGTGAAGGCCTTGCTAAGAGGGAAATATATTGCAATACAAGCATACCTCAGGAAAGAAGAACAATCCCAAATAAACAATCTAATGAAGCTAGAAAAGGAAGAACAAATGAGGCCCAAAGTCAGTAGAAGAAGGGACATAATAAAGATTAAAGCACAAGTAAATAAAATCAAGAAGAATAAAACAACAGAAAGAATCAATGAAAGCAGGAGCTGGTTCTTTGAGAAAATAAACAAAATAGATAAACCCCTAGCCAGACTTATCAAGAAAAAAAGAGCATCTACACATATAAGCAGAATCAGAAATGAGAAAGGAAAAATCTCTACGGACACCACAGAGATACAAAGAGTTATGAGATAATACTATGAAAAATTACATGCTAACAAACTGGATAACCTAGAAGAAATGGACAACTTTCTGGAAAAATACAACCTTCTGAGGCTGACCCAGGAAGAAACAGAAAATCTGAACAGCCCAATTACCAGCAAAGAAATTGAATTGGTAATCAAAAAACTACCTAAGGACAAAACTGCTGGACCAAATGGTTTCACTGCTGAGTTTTATAAAACATTTAGTGAAGACCTAATACCAAGCCTCCTTAAAGTTTTCCAAAAAGTAGAAGAGGAGGGAATACAACCAAACTCATTCTACGAAGCCAGCATCACTCTATTACCAAAACCAGGCAAAGACACCACAAAAAAAGAAAATTACAGACCAATATCCCTGATGGACATAGATGCAAAAATACTCAACAAAATATTAGCAAACCAAATTCAAAAATATAGAAAAAAGATCATCCATCGTGATCATGTGGGATTCATCCCAGGGATGCAAGGATGGTACAACACTCAAAAATCCATCAACAACATCCACTACATCAACAAAAAGGACAAAAACCACATGATCATCTCCATGGATGCTGAAAAAGGACTCGGAAAAATTCAACATCCATTCTTGATTAAAAACTCTCAACAAACTGGGTATAAAGGGCAAGTACCTCAACATAATAAAGTCCTTATATGACAAACCCACAGCCAACATCATACTTAACAGCGAGAAACTGAAAGCTTTTCCTTTCAGATCGGGAACAAGACAAGGATGCTCACTCTCCCCACTATTATTCAACATAGTACTGGAGGTCCTAGCCATGGCAATCAGATAAAACAAAGAAATAAAAGGCATCCAAATTGGTAAGGAAGAAATCAGACTGTCACTGTTTGCAGATGACATGATATTGTACAAAAAAAACCCTAAAGAATCTGCTCCAAAACTATTAGAACTAATATCTGAATTCAGCAAAGTTGCAGGATACAAAGTTAATACACAGAAATCTGTTGCATTTTTATACACTAACAATGAACTAGCAGAAAGAGAAATCAGGAAAACAATTCCATTCACAATTGCATCAAAAAGAATAAAACACCTTGGAATAAACCTAACCAAGGAAGTGAAAGACCTATACCCTGAAAACTACAAGAGAAATTAAAGAGGACACTAGCAAATGGAAATTCATCCCATGCTCTTGGGTAGGAAAAATTAATATTGTCAAAATGGCCATCCTGCCTGAAGCAATATACAGATTCAATGTAATCCCTATCAAAAAACCTACAGCATTCTTCAGTGAACCAGAGCAAAGAGTTCTAAAATTTATATGGAACGACAAAGGACCCTGAATAGCCAAAGCGATCCTAACAAGGAACAATGAAGCAGAGGGGGTCTTGCTTCCCAACTTCAAGCCCTACTACAAAGCCACAGTAATCAAGACACTTTGGTACTGGTATACAAGAACAGACCCATAGACCAGTGGAACAGAATTGAGAGCCCATATATAAACACAAGCATATATGGTCAATTAATATAGGATAAAAGAGTCATGGATATACAATGGGGAAATGACAGCCTCTTCAACAGCTGGTGTTGGTAAAACTGGACAACTACATGTAAGAAAATGAAACTGGTTTATTGTCTAACCCCATGCACAAAAGTGAACTCTAAATGGATCAAAGACCTGAATGTAAGTCATGAAACCATAAAACTCTGAATAAAACATAGGCAAAAATCTCTTGGACATAAACATGAGCAACTTCTTCATGAAAATATCTCCCCGGACAAGGTAAACAAAAGCAAAATGAAAAAGTGGGACTATATCAAACTAAAAAGCTTCTGTATAGCAAAGGACACTATCAGTAGAACAAAAAGACATCCTACAGTATTGGAGAATATATTCATAAATGACATATCCAACAAGGGGTTGACATCCAAAATATATAAAGAGCTCACGCACCTCAACAAACAAAAAGCAAAAAATCCAATTAAAAAAATGGGCAGAGGAGCTGAACAGACAGTTCTCTATAGAAGAAATTCAGATGGCCAACAGACATATGAAAAGATGCTCCACATCCCTAATCATCAGAGAAATGCAAATGAAAACTGCAGTGAGATATCACCTCAGACCAATTAGGATGGCCAACATCCAAAAGACAAACAACAACAAATGTTGGCAAGGATGTGGAGAAAGGGGAACCGCCCTACAGTGCTGGTGGGAATGTAAACCAGTTCAACCATTGTGGAAAGCAGTATGGAGGTTCCTCAAAAAACTCAAAATAGAAATACCATTTGACCCAGGAATTCCACTCCTAGGAATTTACCCTAAGAATGCAGCAGCCCGGTTTGAAAAAGACATATGCACCCCTATGTTTATCGCAGCACTATTTACAATAGCCAAGAAACGGAAACAACCTAAGTGTCCATCAGTAGATGAATGGTTAAAGAAGATGTGGTCCATATACACAATGGAATATTATTCAGCCATAGGAAGAAAACACATCCTTCCATTTGCAATAACATGGATGCAGCTAGAGGGTATTATGCTCAGTGAAATAAGCCAGGCAGAGACAAGTATCAAATGATTTCAGTCATCTGTGGAGTATAAGAACAAAGAAAAAACTGAAGGAACAAAACAGCAGCAGACTCACAGAGCCCAAGAATGGACTAACGGTTACCAAAGGGAAAGGGACTGGTGAGGATGGGTGGGAAGGGAGGTAAAATGGGCATTATGATTAGCACACATAATGTAGTGGGGGAGGGACTCGGGAAAGGCAGTATGTACAGAGAAGACAAGTAATGATTCAATAGTATCTTACTATGCTGATGGACAGTGACTGTAATGGGATATGTGGGGGGGACTTGATAACAGGGGGAGTCTAGTAAGCATAATGTTGTTCAAATCATTGTACATTAATGATACCAAAATGAAAAAAATTTAATCTTGTCAGTACCCCAGAGTTGATCAAACCATGGGGGCTAAAAACAAACTCACAAAGTACTGATAAATAAAGTAGAATGGTGATGAATAAACTAGAAACTTAAGTGTCTAGAAAAAAAAAAAGGTAGTACATTGTCATTAACAGACATTTGGATAATAAAGGAAAAAGCCAAAAAAATAGAATAAAGAAATAAAAATAAAACATGCTTTATCTGAAACAGTCAAAAGTTCTGATTTTGGATGGTGCCTAATGGTTTTTTTGTTTGTTTTATTTTGGGAAGGACATATCTGTAAACATGGTAGTTTCTAAGTAAGGATTATAATATTTACATATGTAATGAATGTATATATGCACTAATTATGGTATATATAGAATGTGTAAATGTCTCAATTTATGCCAGGTAACAATTTCTTGATACATATTTTTTCACCACATTTGATACAGTGAGATAGCTGTGAAACAAACTCAAGTTTTCAGTTAGGTGAAAGAGAATGAATGATCAGTTGTGTGCTAACTTTCCAAATATTACATGAACAGAAATAGTCTTTCGTAGTATGTTAGGTGGTCCTATATGAAAAGCATGACCTTGTGTCTTGGTCTTTTAGTCTCAGCTTTGTTTTTAACTTTCTGTCTAACCTTTGACAAACTACTTAACCACTAGTTCTATATCCAGCAATGTTTAAAGTCTCTTTAAACCATAATATCCTATAATTTCAGGACACTTTGCAGTATTTATGCTTTACTTTCACTGACCTGTCAATGAAAAGTGCTGTTTGCTCCATGTCATACTGTAGAGAAAGATATGAAGAGTGAAGAGTATTATATTATATTTCCCAGAATTATAGGTGTTTCATTAGCAGTTATGAAGCAGCTTCTGTTTTCCTGAAATCTACCATTCATATTTATAAATACCTTGATTTTTATCTCCTCCTCCAAAACACATTTTTAAGTTCTTTTTATATTGTAAAATCTTTTGTGTAGATAACTTCTGAATATACTTTCCTTTGTGTATTCATTTTATTGTGTCCAAAGATGTTGGAAGTGATACACTTATGTAGGATTCTTGGGCAAATGTTTTGAGTATTAATTTATGACCACATGTATTATTTTATCCTGTCTTTCCTTGTTGTAGGTGCATACTGATGAATTTAAGCCATTTATTGGATTGGAATACTCATTAAACATTTGTGCTTTGAGGGCCCATTGTATGCTAGGTGGATCTTAGAGGACACCCACAAGCAGTGTGTGTCTTCACAGCCCATTGTCTCTTTGAACCATTAGCGTTTTAATAAACAGTTAACAGTACTACACATGATTGGAGTATGCTGTAATAGGTATAGAAGAAACATGTTGCATATCAAAGATTAGAAATTGATTCAGTCACATTTATCTTTGGAGAAAGTGGGGAATCTGCATGAATGTTTCATAAATTGCAGATTTTTAAGTCTTTTTGTTGTTTTTGCATTTCTTATTACAGTGCAGCTTATGATGCCATTCTTGAAAGAAACGTTGCAATCAAGAAGCTAAGCCGGCCATTTCAGAATCAAACTCATGCTAAGCGGGCTTATAGAGAGCTAGTTCTAATGAAATGTGTTAATCACAAAAATGTAAGTGAACATTTTAGAAAATTTCTTAAGTATAGATGAAGTCAAGATTTGTTCACGAATATATGAATATCAACAGCTTTAAAAATATGAGGTGCTTAAAATTTTTCTTCTGATTTGAACAGTTGTTTACAAGATGCATGTACAGTATAAGTTTTTTCTCAGCTTTCCTATAGCAAAAGAACAACAGCTTCTGAAATTCAGATTGTGTATTTTCTAACAATTAATTTGCAAAAGGAGATTTTAAAAAGGTAAGTGTTTTACAGGAATTTTATTAGGCTCGGTCTCATCTGTTTTTTGTTTTCTGTTAGGGTGACAGCTCTTAAAACTGGAGCCTTAGCACAGAGATGACATTGTTCCTATTAGACTTTGACACTAGAACTTTATTTAATAATATTGGATGTAAAATTCAAATCCTTTCTGCCTACCCCACTTCTACCTTTTTAAGTGATACCAGTACTCACTGGTCACTTAATGTTGAGGATAGCCAGGTAACTTTCATTCATTTTGAGAATAAATAGTTAATACTTTTTAAAATAAATATTAAGAGGATATAAACTAGGAGTGAATTGTGCAGGGTACCATTTGTGAATTACTAAACTGAAAGCATCTGGCTGGAGATGTTTTGTGCTGTCTGTCCAACGGTGTTTATAAAATATGAGCTCAGTAATCTCTGATTTCAGATAACACAATTTACTACATTTTGAGAGCTAACTATGTACGAGCATCTGTGTGTTGGAGTTATTAGGTTAGTCACTAATGGGAAAAATTTATGGAAATTAAGGACTAGGCTCCTTATTTGGGGAGCTTACCGTGTTATTTTGAAGACAAACAAATACATAAAGAGTTAAAGCAGTAGAAATTTATTCATGGTGGATGGAAAGTAAGTGCTGAGATTCAGGAGAGAGAAGATTCCTGTGAGCTTTAATGAAATGGGAGAGCTTGGGGGAAGGGTGGATCTAGACTAATTCTTAAATATGGGGTAAAAATTGGATTGTTGAAGAAGTAGGGCCTCCCAGAGAGGAAGAATTAACATTACAAAAAGGCACAGAGATAAAGGTTAATGTCAGTTAGTGACAGGGAAGAAGCTGTGTCAGCACTTCTTGTTCTTTGTGGTTTCCAGGCATGTTGCTTGTCAAGGTTGTGCATGTGGCCTCCTGCCCTCTGAAGAAGTTGCCCGTGACCCTTTTAGCCTGTTTTGTGGTGATGGTGTGGTGTCACTGCATTGGTTTTGCCTTGGGGGCATGTCCAGTACACCTGCCTCCTGAGCCTCAGTGACTGCAAAGAAAGATGGTTCCATCAACTAATGGAGGACATGAAAAGTTTGTTTCACATTATTTACCCACTATAGGGGTGGCAAAGATCCATCCAGGCAATACCATTAATATCCATTGGAGTTTCAGCACAGAATAGATACTTAAAGTGTATTTGTTCAGTGAATGAATTAAGTATAGGGAAAACTAAATAGAGAGAAGCAGGAATGTCAGTGGAGTTTTTCCACCTCCTGATGGATAGATGCTTTTTAATAATTTCATGTTCTGCACAGATCATCTCCTCATTAATCTACTCAGGTTTTTCCCATTCTTTAAAAAAATTTTTTATTGTGTTATAATACACGTAAGAAAAGTTAAACTGTCTTAACCATTTTTAAGTGTACAATGCAGGGGTACTAAGTATATTCATATTGTTGTGCATTTCCCCCTGTATTCATAGATGTTTTGAGTTTCTTTTTCAACTTGGCCAGTTGTTTCTGAATGCACTTTGATATGTGACCTAACATACAGTACTGCATATTCTCTTAATTATGGACATTATAATCTTATTTGGAAATTGGTGACCATTTGACTCACATTCTCTTGGTCTGCTAACAAGTCCCATATTTCCCACCCTTTACTTTTTTTTTTCTTTTGGTTTTAGAGAATTAAGTTTAAGAATAAGCCTAGTACTTTGTATTTTTCTCTATTTCTCTATTAAATCGCACATGTGAAATCTGGTTCCTCTTCCTGGACTGTTGAGGGAATTGCTTTTTTTTTTTTTGCTCTGACTTCGCTTGTTGACTTCACTTCCCAGTTTTGCTCAGGATGCCTTCATAATAACTGAATTAGTTCATTAGCAAGCTTTGAATATACTGTAAAAATTTCATGTCTGAGTATAAAATTTATCCATCTCCCCAATTCTTCATCTTATTCACATGGATATTATTATGGGGACATTTTCAAAACTGCCTTTTGAAATCTTCATATACTTTATCTAGTTGCATTTCTTTGATCTGTTCCTATTTATTGGTAGTATTTTTATTCACAGAAGGAAATGATTTCCCAATGAATTTTTACCTGCTCCTAGTAATTGCTTCTTCTTTCAGATACCACCTGATTAATCAGTCCTTGACTTTTGTTTGACTATCCAGTCTATGATTAATTTCCTTTATTTCCCTTTTTGAAAAATAAGACGACTGTTAAAAATCTTTTTTTAAAATAGCTCTATTGGGATAGAATTCAGGTACTATACAATTAACCCATTCAGTGTATACAATTCAGTGGTTTTTAGTATGTTCACTGATATTTGTGACTGTCTTTGCAGTCACTTCTGGGACATTTCCATCACCTCAAAAAGAAACCCTGTATCCTTTAGCTTTTGTTCCCCCAATTCCCATGTCCCTCAGCTCTAAGCAACCACTAATCTCCTGTCTCTCTCTATATGCCTTTCATCTTTAGCACCTCTCTTCTACTCTAGATTTTCCCACATACTAATGAGAACAGTTTTACTATTTCTCCAGGTATGCAGTTTATCTGATTAGGAGACATGAATTCATTTAAAGCAGCTAGATGCTAACTTTTTATCACTTGTCCTATCTTAAACAAGTTTGTTTTAGCTTTTTTGGTCTGAAAATTATTTTTCAGAATTTATTCACTGAACAAATATTTGAATGCCTTCTCTAAGCAAAGCTTTATGCTTGGATGAATAACATAGATTCTGTCCTCATGAAGTTTATGTCTAGAGAAACATTCCCATGCCTAAGTATAATTATCAGTAAGCATTTAAAAACTGTGTCAGGTATCTTCCTATATACCAGGGCTGTAAAAGGGAATAAAACACAATTTCTAACAAGGATTCTAGTTGGGTTGAGGCTGTTGTGAAAATGAGACTATACTATTGTGTGTTAAATGCCATAACATGTAAGATACTGTGGGAACAGAGGAAAGAGTATATGCAGCTCTGTCAAGGACTAGGGGTTATCACACTTGACAAAAGAGGTGTCTTGAAGGTAACTGAGTTCAGTAGGTAAGTTACAAGCATAAGGAATAGGATGTTTAAAGGCATTTAAAGTTTTTTAAAGATAACATTCTTTGAACTTAGTATGACTAAAGTATCAAGTTTAATAGAGGGTTTAGCAGGAAATGAAGTAGGTTGATATCCTGTCATGGAGGGAATTTTGGAATTTTTGTTGGCATTAAGTTCTTGAAGAAGTAATTTGATCAGGTTTTTCACTGTATTATACATAGTAAAATAGTTGGATTTGCAAAAAGCCATTTTTAGGAAACCAAGTGTTAGAAGTAATTCTAGCATGAACAGTCTAGATGATATGTTAGAATATTCAACCGCTATAGGGAATGGAAAGAAGAGATTGAGGTTCAGACTGACCATAGAATGGGTAGTATTTTCTAAATATTTATTATGGTGTAAATACTGAATAAAGAGTCAAAGATCACTCAGAGCTTTCTATTGTAAAAGAGAAGGCACTCTGGAAAAATAAGGAGTTTGGATAGGAATGATAATGAATTCAATTTTATATTTCTGAGATTCTCTGTGAAGTGACAATGGGTGTATCTGAGATTCATAAGCTAACCAGGACTTCTAATGAATATTTGGAAATTATCCAAATAGAGATGTTTGGAGAAAAAAGCATACATAATATCACCCAGGAGAAGGATATGGACATAGAAAAGAGGAGAATTAAAGACAGAATAGTGGGAAAGAGGACTTGCCTTTGGATGAACCAGTGGAATAGATTAGAAATGAATGAAAGTGGTCAAGCACAGTATTATGAAAAACCAGGGGGAGTATTGACTGAGGTTATGTAGAGTATATACTGAATTGGCTAAGAGCTGGTAGAAGATATTTAAGATTTGCTTTCAAATTATGTAGAGGATTGTATAATGTAGGTCCTTGACAATTGAGTGTTCGTAAATGGAATGGATTATGTTGAGTTCTTCTGACACAGTAGTTTTTCTTTAAGGCTTTATTTTTTAGAGCACTTCCAGGTTCACAGCAAAATTGAGTGGAAGGTACAGAGATTTCCCACTCATCTCTGCCCCCACACATGCATAGTCATCCCCAATATCAGTATACATTTGTTATAATCAATGAACTTGCCTTGACACATCCTTATCACCCAAAGTCCATAGTTTACGTTAGAAATTACTCTTTGTATTGTGTATTCTGAGTTTGGATAAGTGTATAATACCATATATTTACCATTTTTTATCATACAGACTATTTTCAAAGCCTTAAAGATTCTCTGTCCTTTGCGTCCCTCCCTACCTCCAAACCCTGGCCATAATTTTAATATGTAAAGTAAAAGAGATAACTTCAGCTTACAACATAAGATCTGAAAAATTTTGCACTGATGGTGGATTTTTTTTAATCCATGTATTTGTAGTTCCCTAATGAAAGTATTAAGCAGTTTCCAATTTTTCTCTCTCTCTGCTTTGCCACAGATAATTGGCCTTTTGAATGTTTTCACACCACAGAAATCCCTAGAAGAATTTCAAGATGTGTAAGTGTGATAATTAAAGTTTTATATTAGTATATTATTCTTAGATTGTTGCTGTATACTTTAGCTGTCATCTTTTTTCACCCATGAAGTTACATAGTCATGGAGCTCATGGATGCAAATCTTTGCCAAGTGATTCAGATGGAACTAGATCATGAAAGAATGTCATACCTTCTCTATCAGATGCTGTGTGGAATCAAGCACCTTCACTCTGCTGGAATTATTCATCGGGTTAGTAGAAAAAAACTATTGTCATATTCTTTTTTTAATCATTGGGATAAAATTCATGTAATACAAAATTAACTATCTTCCAGTGTACAATTCAGTGACATTTAGTACATTCACAAATTGTGCAACTATCACCAATATCAGATTTCAAAATATCTTCATCACCACAAAAGAAAACCTCAAAAGAATACCCATTAAACAAATCACTACCCATTCCCCTCTTTTCTCAGCCATTGGCATCATACCAGTCTGCTTTCTGTGTCTGTGGATTTACCTTTTCTGGAATCATATGATGTGTGATGTTTTGTGTCTGGCTTCTTTAATTTAGCATATTGTTTTTAGATTTGTCCATGTCATAGTGTGTATCAATAGTTCATTCCTTTTCATGACTGAATAATATTCTATTGTATGTTTTTATTTTTGGTTATTTCCACCTTTTAGCTTTTGCAGATACTGCTGCTATGAACATGTATAAGTACTTTTGAGTTCCTATTTTCAATACTTTTGGTTATCTTCTTACCAATGGGTCATGTGGTAATGCCATATTTAGCTTTTTGAGGAACCACCAAACTGTTTTCCTCTGTGGCTATACCATTTTACATTCCTGAAAGCAATGTACAAAGATTCCAATTTCTCCAAATCTTTGCCAATACTTAGTAACTTCTTCATTCTAACCATCCTAGTTGAGTGGTATGTGATCGTGGTTTTATTTGCATTTCCCCAGTGAGTAATAGTGTTGAGCATCTGCATGTTGGACATTTGTATATCTTCTTTGGAGAATGTCTCCACATAAGTATAACTTTTCTTGATATCCTTTGATGCACAAAAGTTTAAATTCTCATAAAATTCAGTTTGTCTTTAGTTTATGCTTTCATTGTCATGTGTAAGAATTCATTGTCAAACCCAGGTCATTAAGGTTACTCTTTTGTTTACTTCTAAGAGTTTTATGCTTTTAGGTCTTTATGTTTAGGTCTTCGATCCATTTTGAGGTTAATTTTTATATATGCTGTAAGATAAGGAACCAATTCATTTTTTTTTTTTTTACTTGTGGAAATCCAGATGTCCCTGCACCATTTATTAGACTATTGTTTCCCAACTGAATGTTCTTGGCATCTTTGTTGAAAATCAATTGGCTATAGATACATGGTTATATTTGTGGACTCTTAGTTCTATTCCATTGGTCTATATGTCTGTCTTTATACCAGCACCACATTATTTTGATCACTGTAGCTTTGTAGTAAATTTTGTTTCCATTTCTGCAGAAAAGAACATTGGAATTTAAAAAAAAATTTTTTTATAAAGGTATTATTGATATACACTCTTATGAAGGTTTCACATGAAAACAATTGGTTGCTACATTTTACCCATATTATCAAGTTTCCACCCATACCCCTCTGCAGTCACTGTCCATTAGATGCCATAGATTGACTGATTGCCTTCTCTGTGCCACACTGTTTTCCCCGTGAACCTCCACACCATGTGTACTAAACATAATACCCTTCAATCCCCATCTCCCTTCCTCCTGACCCACCCTCCCACACCCCTCCCCTTTGGTAACCACTAGTCTGTTCTTGGAGTCTGTGAGTTGGCTACTGCTATTTTGTTCCTTCAGTTTTGCTTCATTGTTATACTCCACAAATGAGGGAAATCATTTGGGACTTGTCTTTCTCTGCCTGGCTTTTATCACTGAGCATAATATCCTCCCACTCCATCCATGTTGTTGCAAATGATAGGATTTGTTTCTTTCTTATAGCTGAATAGTATTCCATTGTGTGTATGTACCACATCTTCTTTATCCATTCATCTACTGATAAACACTTAGGTTGCTTCCATATCTTGACTATTGTAAATAGTGCTGTGATAAACATAGGGTATTATTGAGCATGAGAAGTTGTATTCTTTGGGCAAATTCCAAGGAGTGGGATTCCGAGTCAAATGGTATTTCTATTTTTAGTTTTTTGAGGAACCTCCATATTGCTTTCCACAATGGTTGAACTGGCTTACATTCCTACCAGCAGTGTAGGCAGGTTTCCCTTTCTCCACATCCTTGCCAGCATTTGTTGTTCTTAGTCTTTTCAATGCTGGCCATCCTTACTGGTGTGAAGTGATATCACTGTGATTTTAATTTGCATTTCCCTGATGATTAGTGATATGGAGCATCTTCTCATGTGTCTGTTGGCCATCTGAATTTCTTCTTTGGAGAATTGTCTCTTCATATCCTCCACCCATGTTTTAATTGGGTTATTTCCTTTTTGGGTGTTGAAGCGTGTGAGTTCTTTATATATTTTGGATGTTAACCCCTTGTCGGATATGTCATTTACAAATATATTCTCCCATGCTGTAGGATGCCTTTTTGTTCTGTTGATGCTGTCCTTTGCCATACAGAAACTTTTTAATTTGATGTAGTCCCATGTGTTCATTTTTGCTTTTGTTTTCCTTGCTCGAGGAGATGCATTCAGGAGGGAGTTGCTCATGCTTATATTCAGATTTTTGCCTATGTTGTATTCTAAGAGTTTTATGGTTTCATGACTTACATTCAAGTCTTTGATCCATTTTGAGTTTACTTTTGTGTATGGGGCTAAACAGTAATCCAGTTTCATTCTCTTACATGTAGCTGTCCAGTTTTGCCAACACCAGTGTTGAAGAGGCTGTGATTTCCCACTGTATGCCCATGGCTCCTTTATGGTATATTAATTGACTATACATGGTTGGTTTTATATCAGGGCTCTCTAGTCTGTTCCATTGGTCTATGATTCTGTTCTTGTGCCAGTACCAAATTGTCTTGATTACTGTGGCTTTGTAGTAGAGCTTGAAGTTGGGAAGCTAGATCCTTCCTTCATCAGTCTTCCTTTTCAGGCTTGCTTTGGCTATTTGGGGTCTTTTGTGGTTCCACATGAATTTTAAAAATATTTGTTAAAGTTCGTTGAAGAATGCTGTAGGTATTTTGATAAAGATTGCATTGAATCTGTAAATTGCTTTAGGCAGTATGGCCATTTTGACAATATTAATTCTTCCTATCCATGAGCATGGGATATGTTTCCATTTATATTGGTATCTTCTTTAATTTCTCTCATGTGTATTAATTTTGTATCCTGCAACTTTGCTGAATTCAGATATTAGACATAGTAATTTTGGAGTGGATTTTTTAGAGTTTTTTGTGTACAATACCATGTCATCTGCAAACAGGGGCAGTTTAACTTCTTTTCTACCAATCTGGATGCCCTTTTTTCCTTTGTCTTGTCTGATTGCCATGGCTAGGACCTCCAGTACTATGTTAAATAGAAGTGGTGAAAGTGGGCATCCTTGTCTTGTTCCCAATCTTAAAGGAAAAGCTTTTAGCACACTCTGTCTCACCTCTCATGTCGACATCTTTAATTCCACCACTGGAATTTTAAAAAAGGATTTCTTTGAATCTGTAGATTGCTTGTGTAGTTTTGCCATCTTAACTATATTTAGTATTCCAATTCATGAACACAAGATGTCTTTTCATTTACTTAGGTTGTATTAGTCTACTTAGGCTGTCCTAACAAAATTCCACTGATGGCTTAAAGACTGGGTGGCTTATCAACAGCAATTTATTTTCTTATAGTTTTGGAAACTAGAAGTCCAGGACCAAGGTGCCTGCACATTCAGTTTCTGGTGAGAACTCTCTTCCTGGTTTGTAGACAGTCACCTTCTACCTGGTACTCACATGTCCTTTGCTCTGTGCATCCACACAGAGAGCACACTCTGGTGTCTCTTCCTGTTCTTATTAGGATACCATTTCTTTTGGATTAGGGCCCTCCTCCCATTATGAGCTCATTTAACCTTAATTACCTCCATAAGGGCCCAATCTCTAAATACAGTCACATTAGAGTATGACTTTTGGAAGTGGCCAACACAATGCAGTCCATAACAAAGATCTTGTTGAATTTCTCTCAGTAGTGTTCTATGGTTTTCAGTGTGCAAGCCTTCACCTCCTTAGTTAAAATTTTTTCCTGGGTATTTTTATTCTTTTGGAAGCTATTATAAATGGATTCATTTCCTTAGTTTCCCTTTCAGATTACTCATTGCTAGAATATTGAAACTACAGATTTTTGTATATTGATCTTATATCATGCAACTTTGCTCTGTTTGTTCTAATAGGGTTTTATTTTTCTTTTGGATGTTTTATAATTTTCTATGAAATCATATTGTCTGCATATTTTTTCTTCTTTCTTTTAATTTGGGTGCCTTTTGTTTCTTTTTTGCCTAGTTTATCTGGCTAGAACTTCCAATAAAGTGTTGAAAAGAAATGGCAAAAATGGGTATCTTTGTCTTGTTAATCTTAGAGGATGGGCTTTATTCTTTCACCATTAAGTATAATATTTTCTATGGTGTCTTCATGCATGCTCTTTATTGTTCAAGGAAGTTCCCTTTTGTGTTGAACTTAGTCACATTGTACAGTCAAAGGGCACAGACCCCACAGGACTGCCCTTACTTCACATACTAACCACAGGTCCCAAAACTATTCTCATTTCATACCAGCTGGCTATAAATTTGGGGATCCCCACAACCAACCTTAGGTTCAATAATTCACTAGAATGATTCACAGAACTCTAAAAAGCCCTATACTTAAAATTACAGTTTTGTTACAGCACAAGAATACAAATTAGGACCAACCAAAGGAGAAGATGCATATGACAGAATCTGGAAGAGGTTCAAACATGGAAATTTTAGTCCTCTACTCCAGCCATAAAGTATGAAAGTGTACACAGAGTATTGCCTATCAGGAAAGCTTACCCAAGCTGTTAATGTCCAATTATTCTTGCTGATCAAAGCACATAGTGCCTGCCTTGCTGATCTTTAGTCTCCAACCCTCCCTAAGGTTCACACTAATATCTTTAATCTCCAGTTTCTGAGGTTGAAACTGATGTGTCCCAAAGCTCCAGTCAGCAATCACATCATTAGACTGTCCTGTAGCTAAAACCCCCAGGCAAATTAAGACACTGCTGTCAGTCAGGACATTTGAGGGACCTAGATAT